CGATATATTATATTATATAATAGCGGGGATATTAATAGCGATAGTTAGAGTTTCTTCTCTCGTGCGTAAGCGGAACTAATAATATCGTAAGCGGTATTAATATCGAGCTTAGCTCGCGTTTCCTTATCACGTTCCCTATAAAGTATAACCGTGGCCTATATACTTCGGGCCGTTCTTACTTATATACCTGCCCTTCCGACCTAGGCTAGCCCCTCCTAGGTCGGCTAGCTTTTCCTAGCCTACCTATCCTTAGCTTATTAAGACATGCGTTTATGAGTTACTTAGTACTCTAGTACTTAAAGCACTATAATAGCTTGCCCTTAATAACTAGGTTACTATTTTAGCGGGGTGGTTTAGTAGAACCACTTATACTTAAGGCCCGCGGACCCCCCGCGTTAGGTATGATTAGCCTCCGCGCCGTATTCTAGTTAGGCTTCTGCCGCTTTATAGGTAGCGCGCGGGTATTAGTCGTAGGTGCTATAGGTCTCTTCTGCCTTTATATTATAAATATATCCTATACGCGTTTAGCGATAGCGATAATATCTTCGCGGATAGTAAGTAACTTACTTCCCTATATATAAATATAATTATATAATTTAGGCTATAGCTTTATAAAGTAATAAAAAGCCCGGTTTATTTTAGGCTTTTATTCGAAGTATTACTCTAGTAAATCGAGGTAGATATAGAACTCTCGGGGGGATTATATATCTCGTTACTAGGTACTCTTAAGCTATGCTATTAATAATAGCTTATAATTTACTATATCTTTTATAAGACTTAAAGTCTACTCCTCGAAAGTAGGCTAGTTTCCTTATAGCGCTTCTTTATTAGCTTCGGTTCGTTATTCTCCTATATATTTTTCCTAGCGGGTTCGATATATTTAATATATTTTATCGAGAGCTTTTAGGATCTTATTTTTATCGGTGCTATACCGTGTCTTTACTCCACGGAAAGCTTATCGTAAATCTAGTAATTAATTATCTCGGGCTTTAAAGGATAAAGAAAGAGTAAGTTATATAAAATTAATAATCTTTACTTCCTTATCTAAAGCTTTAATATTTACTACTCCTCTAAAGTATCCCTATAACTATAGTATTATATAGGCTTATCGGAGGCGTATCTATTCTTATTTAAGCTTTATAATATCTTTTCGTAGCTAATTCTCTTCCTAGAGTCGCTCTTACTATACTCGGAGATCCTATAATCGACCCCCTAGACTTAACTCTAGTATAGAAGATAGTGCTAGAGTATTTAGTTATACTTAGAAATCCGGGAAATATTCCGGATAATCCGGAACTTAGACTTCTATTTCTATAGGTTTACTCTATAGATCTTATTCTTATTCTTATACTAGTTCTTAGTATAACGGCGATTCGGGCCCGTTAGATATAGAATTTTTAGAAGCTTCGGGAGGGAGGAACTCTTAAGTAAGTTCCTCGCCCTCGCGATCTAAAGAGTCTAATATTCTCTCCTTAGGTAATCTTTATTAAGAAGTTTAAGAAATTATAATAATAGTAGGATAGATCAGGTAAGGAGAGAAGGTATAGGTAGTATATTTATAAAACTTAAACTTATTTCTCCCTTTATAAGTAAAAGTAAGTATATTATACCTAAAGCGCTCGGAAGATCCGGAGGTTAGGTATAATATTATTAAGTCGGGTACGTATTATTGATACTAATATAGCGGTACGCTATAGTATCCGAGGCCTCCGTGATTCCTTATGACTATACCGCTGACTTCCTTCGGCCACGGTGTTATAATTTTAGGGGAAAAATAAGATAACGGGGTAGAAGACAGTGCTACTAGTCCTAAGACCCTATATCCGACCCCATAGGAGTTACTATTAGTAGCGTTATTCGCGAAATCGATCACTAAGATAGAGGTATTAGGATGGCCGTCCCTAGCAAGCGAAAAGGAGGCTCCTTAGTAAGTAGCTTTTATAGCAGGCCGCCTTATTACCCTAATAGGTCTCTATTAGGGGAAAGAGATCAATAGGGCTAAGCTATAACGCCTACTACAGCAGGCACCACGACAAGATCATTAGGATCAGGATCGTATATACTAAAGGGACCTCCCCTTACTTCCTCGTTATTATAGTAACCTTGAGAGGTATTTACTAGGAAAGCTCTTCCTAGAAGCAGAAGAATTATACCTTTAGAGTCATAAAGAGATAGACTCCTAGGATAAGATCCTAAAGGAGTAAGTAAATAGATCATAGATCCTTGATTATATATAGGTATATACCTATAAGTTCGACTAAGATAGCTTCTTCCTTAACTATAAGGCCCGGCTCGTCGTACGCGGCGATTAATAATAGGGAATAGGGTTAGAAGAGACCTATATAGCCACCCTAGCCGGGAGGTTATTCCGAACGCTTATCGCGATCGCGGCACGCTTCGACCTCGAATTAATATAATACGATACTATAAATACGTTTATAAACGCTAAATTAGAATAAGTGGTTTTTATAAGGCTATTATTAGGCTATAGGAAGGCAAGAAGACTTCTTTATATAAAGAAGGCCCTTTACGGACTCCGAGAGTTACCTCTACTATAGCAAAAGGAATTCAAAGGCGCCCTCGAGGGTCTAGGCTTTAAAATAGTCCCTTACGAGCCTTATTATATAATCTAGGCCGGGATTATTATCTTCTATTATATTAATAATATCGCGTTAGTATTCTAGAAGGAATCACGCGAGGCTATAGCTACTTTAATAAAATAGCTATAGTTACGATACCTAATAACTAGAGGGTATACTCTCGAGTAATATCTAGGGATCGTAGTCCTACGGGATTGTATAAGGAAGTTAATCTAGTTATACTAATCCGAATATATTATTAAGATCGCTAACCTAGTAATAACCCTAGATCCCGGTAGCGAGGCTCGAATACCGATAAAGTAGATCGAATTATTACCGTATAGCGGCCAAGCCACGATCGCGGTGATCTAAAGCTATTAACGGAAGATTAGGTCGATCCTATATATCGTAGTTATTATAAGACCCGATATTACTTTCGTAATCTCGCGGCTAGTAAGGTATAGTTATAATCCCGGTCCCGAATACCATAGGGCCGCCGACCGAACGCTCCTATATCTAAGGAATAGTTATAGCCTTACCCTTTAATTTAGAGGAAGCAATAGCTTCGATATAGCTAGCGATACCTTATTTACCGATAATTTAATCGATCGGAAGAGCTTATAAATATATATAATACGGCTATTCGGAGGGATCGTTAGCTAGAGGGCTAATAAGCAAGCTACGGTTATAACTTTAATAACGGAAGTAGAGCTATTAGCGCTATTATAAGTATCTAAAGAAGGGATATTTATTAGCCGGCTACTAAAGGAAATCGGGCTCGATCTTAAAGATAGTAGCGGGATATATATTTAGTATAATAATAAGCAAACGATCAAGCTCGTTAATACGTAGATCGGTTAGCTAAATACACGGCTACGGTATATAGATATCTACAATCACTGGCTACGGTAGGAATTATCAAAAGGAACGATATCCGTGGAATACACACCATCCGGTAAGATACTCGCAGACGGGCTCACAAAGGTGCTCTCGAACGCGGCGTTTAACGCCTTCGTATAGTAGCTAGGACTTGTGGATATAAGCGATCGGCTACGGCCATAGCGGTAGCTAGATAATATCACGGATACGGTTATAACGCTCCTTTCGGAAGTAGGAATAACCTCCTAACTACGGCTCGAAATAACCACCTAGCTACGGCGCGAATAGGTGTGCAGATCAAGCCGCGATGGCTTTATCTAGGGGGGTGTGTCGGACCGAAGGGGGTCGGACCGCGGTGACTAAGCAAAGAGGGGTCTGGAGATGGCTGGAATGAAGGAATTAGCACACAGCACGATCGAGAAGAAGAACAACAACGAACACACACACTAACTCGGGCCGTGCCTCCACCAAAGCGGTCACGTGTCCGACAGCATGTGCTGCCACGTGAGTGGGAAATTTTTCCTCCTATTGGTTGTCGACTGCTTGAGTGTGGCAGTGTTGATCCGTTTGAACAAGGATACCGGGTGAGTCCTCGAGCAGGTAAGTTCTGTTGGACCGGAGTTAACTGTGCAACGCTGGACAGTGGGCCACGAGGCGCGGAACCCACTTTAGCAATTCGTTTTGATTGAACGCAATGCGTATTACTTAAGCAAGAAAATTCTCTAGGGCCCCAAGGTCACAGGAGGCCCGGCCAAGTAGAACAACAATACAAAGAACATGCAACCTACGTTTCAACAGATATTTATATGATATATCTCTTATTATTCCTATATGAATAGTTAGCATTATCATATATTCTCTGGAGTTTAGGGTACTTAGGCCCGTATTCGCATTTGGCATCTACCTTGGACCACACATCGCTATTATTATTACCTCCTTGCAGGCGCACAGTGAGCAAAAGAGGAGGGACCCGCACATTGATGACGTCTTACCCTGTGATGTCGCTTCAAGGCTGTGTACTCTGCTGATGGCGGCGTAGCTTCTTTCTATACACCTGGTAGATCTGTGCTGTACGTCATACGCTTAGCTCTGGGTCTTTTGGAAGGGCTTGAAGTGCTAGATTCATACTAGCCTCATTATTTGGAACTGCCGTACTTAGTTGGTATAGATTAATTGATCAAATAACGATAATATGGAAGAGTCGATTCGTGGGACATTGGCTTGTCTGGGATATTCGCTTATCAATCACGTTACGCCATCTGTGGTATAATCAAAACACACCGCTACAAAAGGACCGTCCGCTCCATAATAATTTCAGACGCATCTCTTTTTACTGCAGCGGCTACTCTACTTCAGGAAGATCGAGTCATCGCAATGTGGTCACGCGCACTCACCCCTGCAGGAGTCCGCGAGCATCTGAAGCTTGTATATAAGAGCCTCAATTTTCGAATAATACCGCGACCAAGAAGTGTTCCAAGAGACATAGACCACCAACACCCTGAAGCCTAGTCCTCTAAGATTTTCAGACTCGAGTATATCAGCATGTACGACCTTGTCGTAGTTGGTCATGGCATTGCCGGCCTCGCCGCTGCAGTATCAGCTGCAGAATTCTCGCCCTCGTCGCAGATAGCCGTGCTAGAGCATGCACCAGAGCATGCGAGCGGTGGAAACTCACGCTGGAGCCCTGCCAACATGCGAATGCCATCTGTCAATGAGGTATTACCAGGCTTCGTGGACGACATGGTGGCTGCAAGCGGAAGTGGTGGCGACCGCGCGTATTTCGAAAGGCTGGCTAGCCAGGCCCCTGAAGCCCTCCAATGGCTCGAAAAGCAGGGGGTGCAGTTTCACGCCATGGACTATTTCTTGAAATCTTGGCCTAACAGGATCCAGCCTATTGGCAAAGGTGCTGCCATTGTGGAAGCCCTCAAGCAATCAGCCAAATCGAAGGGTGTCCAACTGGTGTATAATTGCCGTGCCCAGCGACTTCATCTTGGCCGAGGACAGGCCATAATTGAGGCAGCTGATGGGCGACGAATCATTGCCCGGTCTGTTGTGCTTGCCAGTGGTGGGTTTCAAGGCAGTCCAGACATGCTGCGTACTCATCTTGGTCCTGGTGCGGAGACGTTGAGACCGATATCACCTGGGACGGCCTGGAACGCCGGCGACGGCATCCAGATGGCGCTGGCCAACGGAGCCAAGGCCTCTGGCGATTGGAACGGAATGCACAGCGAAGTAATCGACCCACGGAGCAGTCAGCCAGCGCCACTGGTCCTCAATTACCCGTACGGGGTTGTGGTGAATCAGGACGGAAAGCGGTTCCTAGATGAAGGTGCTGGACTCGTGCATGACACGTGGGAGCATCTTTCCAGAACCATACATTTTGACACACCGGGCCGCTTAGCCTGGGCAATTTGTGATTCCAGATTTTTTCAATTGGAGGACCATGAGGCAGCTATCCGCTCCGATATGCCGCCGGTGACAGCGGACACGATTTCTGGTCTGGCGGCACAGATGGGGATGCCGGAACAAGCGCTTCTGAACACAATCTTAAACTACAATGCAGCCTGCAACGCAAACATGTCTGACTTTACGGCGGGCCGGCTTGATAATCTCGCCACTACCTCAGGCTTGCAACCATCGAAATCGAACTGGGCTAGGCCGCTCGACGCTCCGCCGTATACCGCATTCCCCTTAGCCGCGGCCATTGTCTACACTTTCGGCGGCATTGCGACTGATGTGGAAGCGCGCGTTCTTGGCCAGAGAGGCATCATTCCTAATCTATATGCTGCAGGTGAGATTACTGGCCATTTCTACGAGAAGGCTCCAAATGCAGTGGCCGTTATGCGGGCACTCGTCTTTGGACGTATTGCTGGCCTCCATGCCATAAGCTCCCATTAGACAGAGAGAAGTGTACCGTTGGGTTAGTAGGGTTAGTAGGGTTGAAGGGTTAGGTATTGGCTATCTAAGCTATTCTGCTCATGTTATTTTACAGTGGTAGTTTTTAAGTTATGAGAAATAAGAGATAATACTTTGATAGCAATACACATGATACACTTTGGAGGTTGTGTGGCCATTCAACCAAGATGCATCTGCGCTGTGTGTGAGTGTCACGTGCTGGTCACGTACACGCACAGGTACGATAGCGATAAGATAGCATTGATAACGCCGCAGCCAATCAGGCTGCGCGCACACGATCCGAGGAGCAGCCGCGCCATGCCTATTTAGGCTGGCCGACTGGCTGCCTAAGGACGTTTGAATTGATTATCCTTTTCCACCTGTTTGATCTGCCTTTAGTGTATCAGAGTGGTAGTAATTCTTAACTCCCTTATTAATCAAACAACCTTAAATAACTACTCGATTAATCGTAGGAAGTTCCCTAGTATTTCATAGCTATTCGTTCCCCTTGTATTCCGTCGCGCGCTTATCAGATCAGCGCCAAGGGGCTGTGACGAATAGCGTGACAACTTCCCCCACCCACACTATAATTAGGCTGATCTTCCCCACAAAGGATCAGCCTTATAGCACCTTATCGCGCAGAGCCTCAATCAACGCGCGATCAAGCCGCTGATTACGCTGCAATCGCGGCTATTAATCGGCAAAAAACACGCGCGCGTTGCCTTATAGGTGAATTAAACTGCGTACCTCTTGATAAAAGTAGGGCGTAGTATATATATTACCGTAAAAAGCGCGTATAATTAAGTATAACACTATAAAGAGAGCCCCTACCTATATCGCGGGAATCACCTACTTTCGTGTACTCTTTTAAAGTCTAAAAAATCAATATAATAGTAAAAGAATCACTATTTTAATCTTTACCTTACTTTACTAAGTAGCACTAGTCGGCTAGATTTATCTAAGGAGGGTCTGAATACTAACTAATCCTATAAGGAGATAGATCTAGAGATAGAGAGAGCTTACGCTACCTTTCCTAAGAGGCGAGCCTCCTAGTGGCTAACGATAAGTTACTAGGCGCTACCTTAGCGAACACGGTTAAGTATAGTAGAGTCTAAGTCTATTAATAAATATACTTAAACTATTATACTATTACTAACGTTCTAACTTATTATCGGTTATTAGATATCGCGAAATTATAACCTATAATATACCTAAGCTTTCTAGGTCTATGCCTACGATAGCGGGGTCGTAGAGGAGGGCTAACGAATTTTCCGGCGGTTAGGAAGAAGACTTAACTCTTCTATTATTACTATAGCTATAACCCGCCTTACCGGACCTTCCTCCCTTACCGGACCTTCCTTTTTCTCGGCCTAATAAATCTTTTATTACTATATATAGCGCCGACCTATAGAATAACGCGCCGCTATCTAGAGAGCTGTCCGAAGACCTAGTCGACCCCTTGCCGAAAGACCTCTTCGGCGATATAACGCTACGTAAGGTCACCCGCTCGAAGATAAAGAGATACTTATTAACTAAGGCCGACTTAACGAGCACCCTTAAGGAGGCCTTAGAAGATAACCGTTACGTATAGTTTATTAAATATAGAGTAGCGTTACTAAAGGCTATCGAGAGCTACTAAAGCGATATCTAGAGTTACTAATACCTAACAATCGTAGATAACCGTATCGCGATCGCTTATAGTAATATTACGGTTATATTAGCGAAGGAAGACCCTTAATACGAATACCTACTCGAAATAGCACTAATAAGCCGAAACTTTATAGAATAATACCTCGAAACCTAAAAAAAACGCTAGTTACTTTTAGTATAAGAACCCGCTTACTATAATAACGGGTAAAGAGGAAGACGAGTATTATATCCCTATTGTAGCCTTAGTGGATAACGAGGAACCCAAGGACGACAGGCCCCCGCCACTGCCCCCTATAACGAAGACTAAGAAAACGAATACCGACAAGCCTACTAATAAGCCTGCAGACAAGCCGCCGCTGCTAGCGCGGCCCTATAGCCAATAAGGAGGCCGTGGTCGAGGACGAGGAAGAGGTCGTGGCCTGCTGTCAGGCTAACTAAGACGATCACGCTATAACCTTTTAGATAGTGAGGACTCGGACCTAAGTAGTAGCTCGGACGACGACCGCGATAATAATAATAACCGCGACGATCGCGGTTATTAATCGGAAGATAGCCTAGGACTCGAGCCTCTCCGACCTAACCTAGAGCTCTCTATCTCGAAGCGCTTAAAGAACGAGCCTATTAGTAAATTCGACCCCGACTACTTAGATTATAAAGAATAGGGCTTGCTTACGCCGTAAGGTAAAGACCCGATCTATACGGACGTGGCGATATTTATAGCCTAATATAAGGAATACGTGATAGGCGATAAATACGGGCTATAAGGACGATATAGCACCTTACTAGCCGGCGCCAGCTATAAATAGATAATAACCGAGCTAATAAGCGAAGAACGCCGCTAGATTAAACGCGGATCTATTAAGACCTTTTATAAGAAGCTTAATAAGAGATTTAAGCTATCCGCGGCCGAAACTAGTAGCTATTTATTTAACGGTAAATATTATATCTCTAACTAGCTTACTAGCGACTTAATTACTACCTTTATTTAACGTAAGGTAGCCCTAGCACGCTAGATAAGTCTGAAGCGTGATAGAGATATTATTTAAGCTATCTAGCCGTTAATTAACGGCGAGATCTTATTAGTAACCTAGCGCCCGACTTCTAGCTAGTCCTTAGAGCGATAGATTAGATACTTTATTAATAGTAGATAGATAATCGATGCCCGGGCTATTAACGCTACGCGACCTCGCGGCTATTCTCACGACTCACGAGGCTAGCGCGCGCGCGGTAACTTCCGACGCCGTGACGACTATACTTCTAACAGCGGCCGAGATAAACGACTATAATACTATAACTCTCGCTACGAGAACCGCGGGTCTAGTAGCCGTGAGGGTAGCCGTGATAGCTATCGCGGTGATAGCCGCGACCGCGATAACGCACGCCTATTCAATCGCCGCCGCGATAATAATCGTGCTTATAACCGCGACCGTAGTAAGCGTGACGATAGATAAGGCTTCCGAACCTATAAGGAGGTTAAGTTCGAAGAAGAATATAAGAATAATATAACGGAGGATAATACTACCGACGGCTAAGAGGAAGTCGTTAATTTTATAATAACCCGCGAGGGTAAAGCCGCGATATAGGCTACCGCCTTCGTTAATATAATAGCTACCGCTATTATATCGGTTATTAATATTACGAAGACCACGGGAAGGTTTAAATATAATACCTATACCTAAAGGTTTAATAACGAAGATAGCTAGAAGTAATATACTTTAAGTAATATATATATATTAACGGCTTAATTCTAACGCGAAGCCTAGATCGCTAATACTAAGCGATAGCCTTATGCTACTAATACCCTAATTATCGAAGTTAAGGCCTCGCTAACGGTAATTAAAGTAGCCGCCCTTATAAGCCGCTTACGTATAGCGTATAATAACTTCTTATTAATACGGATAGAGGTTAAGCCCTCCGCTAATAGACTATTAATCGCTATATACCCTAATTCCGGCTACGGCACGCCCGTTATTAATACTAAAGTCTTTTAATAATTCGATTATATAATCGAATATCGATACTACGCGATAATTTAAGGCGTCGATAGAGGGAAGATAGCTATAAACGAATTCGCGATCTTTACCTTCTTCGCCGTTAGCCGATAGAACGGTTAGAATATTATAGCTAAGTTCTAATCTAGGGCTTAGGTCCTACTATCCGTCGGCTCTAACGCCTTACTCGGTAACGTATAGCTTAAACCTTACAGAGCCTCTATTAACTATAATAAGGATATTATTAGGATCGGCGCGTTAAACGACTTAGAGATACCTATTACGGTAGTTAAGGCAAAGGCTGCCCCGGTGAATAAGGTCGTTAAGGCTATAAGGGATTATACGGTCCTAGCCGGTATAATAAAGCTCGTGCTAGCCTCGTGGAAGGAGCTACCGTTAGGCAGAAGCTTTACCTTTAATTCTATATATTTATAGGCTATGCACGCCCTCGTTAACGACCGCACGGGACTAAACATCCTCCTTATTAACTATATAGAGGAAGATATCACGATCTCCCGTAAGTAACGCCTTAGGTATATTAGCGAATACGAGGAAATCGGCTACTAGGCCTTATAGACCGAGGAAACCGCGAATTTCCTAATAACTAATGATAGCGCGATAGACCTAATAGGGTCTTTTAAAGTTAACTAACGCTAGGGCCGTAGTAATTAATAACGAGCTAATAGCGCCGCTCTATTAGACCGCGATAACCTCGATAATACCGAGGGATCTAATATAAGTAAAACACCCTATCGCGAATATTATAAGGGTCCTCTATAGATCACTAAGACCCCCGACCTACCTGAGACTATTATAGATAACGGTATATACGTTTACGCCGCCGATAGTAGGTTCCGCGATAAGGCGATAGCGCTACTATAACGCTTTAATAAAGTCTTCACCGACATAGGGCTTATAAAGGTACCAGAAGACGACGAGTTAATTATACTATTAGTTAATGATTAGTATAAGCATAAGGTTACTTAAAGACCTTATCCTTAAGGTAAGAAAGAGCGTGACTTTATTAACGAGATATACGAAGCCTTATATAAGCAGAACCATATAGAATACGCGACTAAACTAATACCTTTTACGGCACCCCTTTTCGTGGTCTAGAGGGTAGTCGACGGCAAACGCAAGGGCCGCGTTATTATTAATCTACGAGCCTTAAATAAGGTAGTCGTGCCGGATAATTACCCCCTACCGCGGTAAGACGAGGTTATCCGCTCCTTAAGAGGTGCCACGTATATCACCGTAATTAATATATCTAGCTTCTTCTTCTAATTCGCGGTTAGAAAGGGATATCGCTATAGGTTTACCGTAATAAGTCACCGAGGTCTCGAGAGGTTTATAATAGCGCTA